CGAGTAGACTCGATCCTCGTCTGCTGACGTCAAGACGAACGTTTGACGTAAGTCGAGCCGTCCGCTGCTGTCACAGGGAAACACGCAGATAGAGTCCTGTTGCCTGATAAGAATCGCCCTCTCCCTCCCTCCCTCTCCCTCCCTCCCTCCCTCGCTCCCTCGCTCCCTCGCTCTCTCCCCTCCCTCCCTCCCTCCCTCCCTCCCTTCTCCTTCAGCCTCTTTTCTGCTCTTCTCCGCACCTGTACGACAACGAACGCGCAACGGCATCGGAGAGGAAGAGAGCCCATGACGCGGAGGGCCCAGAGGCGGAGGGAGGAGAGGTCCATGACCATGGCGAACTGAAGGTCGCACATGCCCTCGCGGTTCTTGGGAAACAGGAAGAGACGAGTCCCTACAACGATGGCGGCACATCTGAAGGAGGTGAGGCGGTCAGGCAGAGGAGGACCAGGACGAGGACGACGAGGAAGAGCAGCAGCAGCAGCAGAAGAAGAAGAAGAGGAAGAAGAAGAAGATGATGAAGAAGAAGAAGAGGAAGAGGAAGAGGAAGAGGAAGAGGAAGAGGAAGAGGAAGAGGAAGACGAAGACGAAGACGAAGAAGAAGAAGAAGAAGAAGAAGGATACACCTGAGGCTGGCAGGCACAGCATCGTCGGAGACACATCGCTTGAGTCGCAGTCGAGGCACGAGAGGAGAAGGAAAGCCGCAGGCATGCTCTTGCGGCATCGGCTCGTCCCTCGAGGGGGTGCGATGAGGAGAGACGGTCGGAGAAAGAGGATGCGGCTGCTTGGGGAAGGCGGGCTCCTCCTCCGCGTTCAGAGCTTCTCCTCCTCCCTCCTTGCCAGGGGGAGGGATCTCAACAATCCCCTGTACAGGAGTTGAGAGGAGGAGGAGGAGGAGGAGGAGGAGGAGGAGAAAAAGAGAGGAGGCATAGGGGACCTCTTGCGAAGGTAACTCCTTCGAGAGCGCCTGTGCGACGTCCATGCGAAGTTTGTTGAGAAGATCTTGAATCTGCATGCAATCGAGGATTGAAAAAAATGCAGGACAAAAGAGCAAAGTGGGGAGGCTGAGGGAGAGCCGAAGGACCAGCGAGGGGGGGGGAGG